CCTCTAACAACTGTTGTCATTTCTCTTCTCGTTCTTCTTGTTTCTTTTGCTGTTCTTGTATTCCTGCCATCAAGTCTGCTATGCTGTAGTTTGATTTGCCGCTTCTCGTTTCAATTTTTTTTGTCCCACTCTCTGACACCAATTTGTTACGTCTCCGTTTGTTAATTGATTTCCCGTAAATTCGTTCCGACGAAACTTTAGCGACACAAGTCCTTACTTAATAAAACTGGCTTATTCTTTCCGAATATAACTTTACGATACACTTAATTTCAACAGTCGCGCTAAAACAAACACTATAACAACGAACGTGCTCAACTTCAATAATACTCTCTGACTGCAGATCAATTACTCACTGTCTACACACACACTGTCACGTCACACCGTGACCATCTTATATATATCAGACCACCCCCAATCTAGTAAATGCTAGAGCACTCCCGAAGGAACAAGATACTTCTAGAAACGTGGCGTGACACTAGTCACGTGACCTCGCTGACGCAACAATACTTTATGTATCTTGGGTGCTCCATATAAATGTCGTTTTATACTGATAGCAGCTTTGTCTACCAAGGTATGGGTTTATAGGTAAATAAACATATTTTTTAGTTGAGGAAACATGGATTTAGGTCAAAATTTATCGTTGAAAAAATTACGAATCATTGTGTGGGAGAAACCCGGTTAATATTAAACTCACTTAAAGTATCTTTTATAAAGGAAGTTTTCTCATGAAAGTTAAAATAGCAGAAGAAATATTAAATATTGAGTAAGGAAACCAGTGAACGTTTCTTCCGATATACAGAGGTCGAGAATTTGTTGGAGGTTGGTGTCATGAAAAATCAAATAGAAAAACCGTGATCGATATAATACTGACACGCCAAAAATAGGCCTGAGCTCCGAATCTTTTAAGTGACGCCTCTAGTTATAAATAAATATACTTGTGGAGACTGTAAGGCCACATACATTGACAAAACTATTCGTCATATTTTAGTACATGTCCACAAATACATGGGAGTGTCCATGAAGACTGGTACTCCTTTTTCAAACCTTTGTAACTCTGCCATCCGAAATCAAAATATAAATTTAATATCTTAGCTTCTGGTAAATTAGACCTAGAACACTTAAGTCGGTTTGTCAAGTTACCTATTAGTTCTGTCCATCTAATTTCTGTTTTTAGGACTACTTATTTCACATAACCTCAAAAAAAGAAAAGAAATATCGCTGTTAATACATATATGTATATGTTTGTGTGTGTGTATCCTTATCTTATACCCATTTTTATTCTGTACGAAACGCTGGAAATAGATTAAGCATAATCTGAAACATTTGTGTAAATATATGTTAATTATCGCATCAATTTTCTTTATTTTTATGTTAAAACTCAATTTTCCTACCAACTAATCAGTCTTCTGATAGTAGTACTACTACTACTATAAAAAATACTAATACTAATTGTAAAATGCCTGTATTGTTTTCTTTCCATAACATCATCTATAATTCTATGACATTAATAACTTACAATGTCTGCTACGAGTAATGTGTATTACTAATTGGTGAATGATTTGTAAAATGGTTAATTGAATATTACACGTCATCAAACACTTGTGTGCCATACTCTTACTCCCACGCTATAGTGTATGTAAGTTCTCAAAAATTAAACTTTATTTTCATCATTAGACATTACGAAGTTTAAATGCTATTTTTTTTCTTTCTGTTACTGTTCTTTTGTTTTTTGTTGCTTAGTTACTTCTAAACTCGACTCGTTAAAACTAAACCTAGTAGTAATAGTACTACCGCGCGAGCACCTGTAATATCGATATCATGCAATTAATAAGTTAATTTTGGGTGTATTTGAACACATTAACTTTCTAATTTACAGCTAAGATACAATTCATAAGCAACATTGAACCACCTTCTGCTAAAGCACAAGTTCAACGTAATAATCCGTAAAGTATCAGGTTACTTAACATTACTCACCAGCTTTTGGTATTCCACACTGATACGTACGACTTTCTACCCAAACCAAACACCGTATTTTCAGAACTAGGCGTCGCTGTGAAGTAGAACAATATAATCACGATCAATTTTTATTTCCGTTCTAAATACCTAAACTGATATGTTTATTCACCTTTAATATTAAATGAAACGAAAAAATGCTTGGGAAAACGTCAGATACAAATATAAGGGGATTTTCTAAAAACAAACAAACTAACATTTATATTGATTGGAAATGAAAAGCAGATTTCTTTGGTAATCGCAATGATTTTAATATTATTATTATTGCAAAAATAGCAAATATTCATAGTACACACTTTTAACTAGCCTCCGATGGCTCGACGGTAAGTCTTAGGTGTTATAACGCAAAAAAAATATTATCTCCGTCTCAACAGTCTAATCCTTGTTCTGGACAATTATCACAGCCGTTCGTCAGTAATATTCCTGAATATCTAGGACTAGCGTGAAGCGCCCTCTAGATAACATCTAAACTACAGCATTAAGAATATAGTTTATAACAGTATATTTTTATTTGCCAAATTTTACTTTTGCTTGAAAATATCGCATTATACTCTCTTACTCATTTTGTTAGGTGCAAGAAAGCCTTAAAAATTAAAATTTGATCTAAAGCGGAAATAAACGCGTTTAAAGTGCATTTGTCGTAACTGTACTAATAAATTTTAGACTGAAGCAGGCAGTAAATATGTATAATATTGTTGAAAAGAACCTAGTTTTACAACTAAATATTTATTCTCCATCGTTTACAAAATCTGGTATACGTTGTTCACATATATAAAATTAGGAACTTAGTTTTTGTTTTGTATTTTTAAAACAAGTGAACAGCTGATGAGAAAATGTTTTAGACTAGTAGTGGAAGGGGCACGAGCACAGATCAAAACTATTCAAAACATCTACTTTAATAGTAACAAATTGGTTGAATCTTAGATGCATACTGTCATAACGTGTTCTTTCGTTGGGCGGGTTCTTTTACATTATTTGGTGAAAATAATGCAAAGCCCAATCCACGAAACAAGAATAGGATTAGCTTATTTCTTCTTTAAGGTTTACTACTGGCTACTATCACAAGTACACAATTCACAAACAACTAACCGATAGAGTAAAATAACAATACATGATAACAAACCTTGATTTGAATACTTCATTAACTTCTCAACCATTTAACAAACTAAAATCTGATTCATTGCTTCACTGATCCTCGTATATATAAACCATTCTTGTCTCTAGATATTTCTCTCGATCTGTGATGTTAACGAACATTCTAAAGATTCTAGTACTACTTTTACAAGCTTTCAAAATCTAATATCATCATCATGTTAGCAGCTTCCTATAACGAACAACTAAATCAAAAATTGAAAATTTAGTTTACAACAATATATAAACCTTATAACTGAAAATTTTGAATGTACTAGTGCTCGTAATATGGTTAATAACTAAAATGTTTTCTCTATCTTTTGAGCAAAATCACATTGGGCTATCTGCTTTTTCTACCAAGGGGAATCGAATCCTGGTTTTTAGCATTGTAATTCTGTAAATAAACTTATTGTTGTCCCACCAAGGAACTAAGAACTAACATCTTACCTTTCAAGAACCACAAGATTCATATCGCTTCAAATCTATACTAATTTCCATACATTTTGCTAGTAGCTTGTCCTAACTTTTCTAAATTCATGCTTAGAATCTTCTAACTAAGCTCAAAATATTTCTAGCTCTCACTTTGACCATGTGTAACCCCATTTAAACTATAGCGTGATAACCAAGCGACAGATCACAAAACTTTGGATTTCTCCCCATTTGTGCTCTGTATACATATTCCACTTTCTCTCATATTTTATATTATTAACGTAGCAATAATTTTCTTTCTTTTTTCTTCGATTTTGCTATGGCAGAGCCCCATAACCCCCTGTCTAAGTTAAGTTAAAAATTAACCTTAGGAGTTACTCTCTATGCATGAATCAGGTGAAGATGTTATTATCTTGAGAATAAAGATGCTTCTTGATTTTTCAATTCAATTTGTGATTAGTTAGCTTTATAAAAAATGTGGATAGTAATAACAGTTTTGACCTTTGAAAAAAAAATTTTTTTTTTGCTTTTACGGAACCAAAACTTCCCAGAGAAGTATTTTCTAGGTTTCTTTGTTTTGCTTCAGATTAATTCGTCCTGTCGACTGTGTGTTTTACCATTAATTTTCAGTCTAACAACCCTAAAAACCTAACAGTCAATAAGAACTAGAGTTTAATTTTCAATAATTGCAGTTCTTGTATTCAAGAAATACAGTTTTTATTCATTTACTTAGATCCAAGGATTTTTTGTTTTAAATCAATTATCCTGCTGCTCATTGCAGCCTGTTTCTATTTTTATTTTCATATTTATCTTTATCAAAGAAATATTTGTTTTCTTTCATATTTAAAACAACCCCCTCAGTGGCACAGTAATATGTCTGCGAGCTTACAATGCTAGAAACCGAATTTCGATACCCGTGGGAGGTAGAGCACAGATAGCCCATTGTGTATCTTTGTGCTTAACCGCAAAAAAAAAAAAGAACAAAATTTAAAGTAAGACTTCTCTCTTTTATTCAACCAACAACAAATCTCTGCACTTGTACGACATTGTGATATTTTCAGATAAACTGGTTTTCCAACAAATGTCAGATAGATCCATTTAATGACTGGAAGATCGAACAAATATTTACAGAGTAATAGTAACCTGAATTTGAAAACCCAACTGAGTTTTAAGCTATGTGAGAAGTAAAAAACTGGATACATATGACATTAAGTGGAATAATCTTTATTACAAAAACAACAAACTACTGGACATATGTATAAATCTACAGCTTCCTTTCATCAAGATAAATCTTTGTAGAACTCTGTACACGAGGAAAATCAAGTATAATTAAGAAATAATACAAGTTCTGCTCTTGCAAGAAACCTTCTATTCTTTCTTTGCAATAGCCTCATCACATGATTGGTCATTTTTGTACAGCTATGGCATACAGACATTACCTACTCAGCCAAAGACAGGACAATGTAATCGTTGATCGATCGAACACTTAAGCAAAGTTTGCTCCAACATCCATGAAAGAAAAGCAGATGTATTTACTATTGAGAATAGCGAAAATGTAAAGGCAACTAGAACAAAACAATTTCAGTGGTCTTCTGGACCATGTTTTATGCCATAACTGCATAGAAATAAACTAAACAAAAATTAAAAATTACTACGCTTTTCAAAATGCTGGAAAAACATTTGAGATACCTGCATATCACGCTTTCTTTCTTATCTCTGTTTCAGGCTCGTCCTCAAGCCAACAAAATACTACTTAATAAGTTAAGATGATTAAAAGAAAATCCTTTTCATTTGTATGTTTAATCACCATAAAACACAAACAGAGAAATACCCTGTGTTTTGTATATATATAATACAATCCAAAAGGGAAAATCCTTAAACATAAAATGACCTTTTACCAACGAAATAAAGAATAATACCCTTTAACATAGAATATATGAATAATACCTTTTTAAGGCCCGGCATGGCTCGACTCGCAATCTGAGGGTCGCGGGTTCGAATCCCCGTCACACCAAACATGCTCGCCCTAACGTGGGTGCGTTATAATGTGACGGTCAATCCCACTATTCGTTAGTAAAAGAGTAGCCCAAGAGTTGGCGGTGGGTGGTGATGACTAGCTGCCTTCCCTCTAGTCACACTGCTAAATTAGGGATGGCTAGCGCAGATAGCCCTCCTGTAGGTTTGCGCGAAATTAAAAAAAAACAAAACAAACAATACCTTTTTAATACAGAAATTCAATACACAAGTACACACACAAATACAAAAATGTTATTTAACAAAGGAAGTGATGTACATACCAAAATAAAAAATCATTTTTACACTTATTGCCTACCCTCTTTATAAAGTGTAGTTTAACAAACTATTCATGAAAATGACAAATATAAAACCCTTTAATGAAGAAATACATTTGATACATAATGAAATAATAAAAATCCCATTCATCAAAAATCAAACCCTTTGCATTAATAAAAACGCAAACCGCCAAAGTACAAAAACAGAAAAACCTTCCCGATAAACAACATTACCATAACCTCTCTTACAATAACTGACAAAATCAAATAATCTTAAAATGACACCTTTAACACAAATACAAAAGCCAATCATAATCAAAGTAATGACATGCACAAGAGAAAATTCTACTCAAATATCTACAAGAATAAACTGAAGAAAAAATTAAATAAATAAACAAGATTAATTTACAATACATATTTACACTGTGCACAAAATAATTTGACACTGAGATATCCTAATGATGGAGTTTCAGTTTGGGCACTTGCTGTGACTCTTCTGACTTTGGTGGGTCTTGGTTGAACGTTTGACATCTGCTTCACTGATCAAGTGGCAGAGAAGTTGGCCTTCATTTGGTCTTTCATCTGACATCTTCAGCCAAGTTAGCATTTCTTCACCATAGTCTTGAGTCATGCCATTAGTCAGCCAAGCAATTGAAAATACTTTGGGAACACTCAGTATGAAAAGGAAGAAAAATTTAAGAGCACAGTTGCCAGAGGCAACCAGAAATCAATCGTTCATACAAAAGCCAAGATTATAATGTAAGGTGAGCCAAATTCCATTGGTCTAAAGTTTAGCCAAGTGTATAGGTTCAGGTGGGTCATAATACACAGTCACATCCATGAACAACGACATCACACTGTGACCATGTTATATGTCTATGAGCTTTGGCATTTGCTCATGCACCATATTACAATCAGAACATGTATCCCGAGAACATGAGGACTTCTCAATCCCCAAGCTTCTAGGAATATCTATTTGACCAACTAGCTGTGGCCTGCTGTTCTCTATTGTCCCAGAGAGACAAGTGAAACACATGCTAAACCTGGCTTCATTTTTCTTCCTACCATCTGGTTGTCATTCACAGTGTCTGGTTTGAGTAGGAAAGAATGGGGTCAAGACTGCAACAGCTTCCTACACACTGAAGTTAACTCTGGTTCAGGTAACATTAGCCATTAACTTTGACCATTAACCTTTTCTAATTCTTCCATTGTCTTTCTTTAGGAACTTATTTTCATCTACAACTTGTGCGCTAGGTTTAAGCATAATTTACACAGTTTTCACCATTCAGTTGCTATTTTCTACCTCCCTATAATACACTTAGCCTGCATTTTCATGCATGAATGAAAATAATACACCTACTACAAACAAATAAAAGTTGAGTACACCTACTGTATATTTGTTATTACATATAAGCTACTGTGTGTGAATTTAATTTACTACATTCAACCATGATTGTCATAGCTTTCAGTGATCAATCAGTCCCATTCATATTAATCAGGGGCCCATCCAACAGTCAGAGTTGTCGGTTTTCTCTGTCTGAGGTGACTTCTAATGTAAT